TACATGCATTCATACATGCACACATACAGACACAAACATGCATGCATGCATACATACATACATACATACATACATACATACATACATACATACATGCATACATGCATGCATGCATGCATACATACATGCATACATACAATCATGTGTCCAACTTGTAGTAATCTACTTATATCAGTGTATGAAATAAGGCCCGTCCGACCGCCCGAGACGGTTTAGATTTCTGACGGACGGTCTAAATTTACAGCTACCAGCCCGATGGTCTGGTATTTCTTTTTAGATATTCCATACATCAGAGTAAATTCCCCATATTTGGTCTGGTTAAACATTTGGGCTGGTAACATTTTGAAGTTACCAGCCCTGATGTCTGGCTGGATTTTTGGCTTATTTCATACACTGATAGCCTATATGATGCTTCGAGATGTCCAGGGTTCGGTACAACGGTAAAATGATGAGTAAATAAGGAATACGTAGGGACACAGCTTGTACTTCGAGGCAACAGCAAGGTTCGACACAACGATGTATATACAATAAGTGCGCGAGAAGAAAACCCGAAACAGTCGTTGAATATCTGAAGACAGTATGTGTTGTAAGTATAAGTTCACCCATCTCACTTTCAATTCTCCTCTGGCGACCACAAAATTCAAATTTGTTCAGGTGTTTGACCTAAGAAGGATATTCTGGTAGATAAAAGTAACAAGATACCGCTGTTGTCCGATTTCTCGCTTTCAAAAGACAGACCGCCTATTCTTAACAAAATAAACATATTTCATGAGATGACCGCCACTAAAAACGAATTACGCATGCATGGAATAGTATCATAAACAGCATATCCACTTATATATGGATGAATGGACGGCCAACATGTCTATTTCTGACATACAAAACAGGCGCATACCAGGTACGGAACGGAGACGAGTGGACCTTTCTACCTTTGATCCGAAAACAGAACTTACCTGTATATACAACAATGATTTTATTGCTTGCAAACCATACGACACACGGGTAGTTAATTCGCATTTGTATATAAACAACTTCTTGTGTACAATGAACTGGACAAAGCAACTCTGACCATCAAAAGTTCTACATGCGTGGGTAGATGTGAGTTCTGCCCATCCAGTACCCCCATACAGGGAACGGGCCACACCGTAAGGATTATACGACCAATACTACTATCTCTCCGCATGTACACAGTTATATTTTCGATTTAATTTTTCAGCATGAATGGTACCTACCCAGTAGAAGGTGTCCATACAGAGACACATGCATTTATGGTTAATAAAAACATATATGAGACCCTCCCAAGGCAAAACAGATCACTCAGCTCAACATTATTTGAAATATTTCAACAATGAATTTATTGTTTATAGAAAACTCTCTATGCCCCCATGGAAAATTATTTGCAAATGCATTTGACTGTTACTACCAGTGTTACATTAGAAAATGTCATGTCGGGAAGCTCTTGGAAAGGAAATATCAAACCAATACCCATCAACACATATGACAAAAAGCCAAATGCAGGGGTGGAAATAACCCGTTGCCCGACGTCCGAGTCCAGTGTTTTTCTGTCGGGCAAGCAAATTTGTATATCACACTGTACCGGTGTCCAGTTGACTTTCCAATGTTAATTATGTTGTTTATTTTAAAAATCAACAAGAAAACGGCCGGTATAGTGGAAAAATTATCAGGGCAAGTGATTTTACATGTGCCACTGTACCGGAGTACACTAGCAATTTTAAACTTATTTCCACCCCTGAATGGCACAAAAACCTTCCACGGTTTTATCAATCGTTACGATGGATTGGAAAGTCAAATTTCACGACAGACAACGCCAATATAGAGTACAAACATATTCATCCAACGGGGACCGCATTCAATAAAGACGCCCTGATCAACAAACCGAATGTATTACGGGTAGGTATATGCCCCTTTAAGAACATGAATCACCTTTAATTTGGACGGTACCGTTTTCAGTTTTCATAATCTTTAAAAACATTCAATTCCAGATCACCGAATTACTTGTATACTGTACATACACCTATACGCTCCAAACAGTATCCGCGTCCATATTGCTGGGAACCAAACTCACAGTACAGAGACAATAATCGTCCAGAAGCGAGGAATCCGGATTGACGATGTCCTCCCAATCATATTTTACAGTATATAGATAATAATAGCCTACAAGTGGGGATTCCTGATTGACGATGTCCTCCCAATCATATTTTACAGTATATAGATAATAATAGCCCACATGGGGGGATTCCGGATTGACGAGGTCCTCAATTCATATTTTACAGTATATAGACAATAATAGCCCACAGGTGGGGATTCCTGATTAATAAGGTAGATAGTTTACAGTATATAGACAATAATAGCCCACAGGTAGGGATTCTGGATTGACGAGGTCCTCAAATCATATGTTACAGTATATAGACAATAATAGCCCACAGGTGGGGATTCCCGATTGACGAGGTCCTCAAATCATATGTTACAGTATGTAGACAATATTAACCCACAGGTGGGGATTCCCGATTGACGAGGTCCTCAAATCATATGTTACAGTATATAGACAATAATAGCCCACAGGTGGGGATTCCCGATTGACGAGGTCCTCAAATTATATGTTACAGTATACAGACAATAATAGCCCACATGTAGGGATTCTGGATTAATGAGGTCCTCAAATCATATTTTACAGTATATAGATAATAATAGCCCACATGTGGGGATTCCCGATTGACGAGGTCCTCAATTCATATGTTACAGTATACAGACAATAATAGTCCACAGGTGGGGATTTCTGATTGATGAGGTCCTCAATTCATATGTTACAGTATACAGACAATAATAGTCCACAGGTGGGGATTTCTGATTGATGAGGTCCTCAAATCATATGTGACAGTATGTAGACAATAATAGCCCAGAGGTGGGGATTTTGGATTGACAAGGTTCTCACAGTCAAACTTTATAGTATTTTGACAATGATATCCCAGCGGTAGGGAATCCGGATTGACAGCATCCCGGCTATTGAACGCCATTCTAAAGAGGCTGTAATAGTTCAGGAGCCAAAAAGTGTGATTGATATGTTCCTATCACATTTCACTGTATAATTACAGTGGTCGTTCAGACGTAGGGAATCCGTATTAACGGGGTTCTGGCATAAGGTACAGTATTACATACCTGTATACACAGTGTATAATTTTGTGATTACTGAGGTATACATTCACAGATATAATTAGATTGCATTTTTAACGTCGCGCATAAAATGTTTTTTGTCAATCCGTTATTCACGTAACTCTTTGACGATGATAAGTGTTGGTAACACTATAAATCCGTAATGTAACTAAACACACACAACGATTACATTCCTTGTTGCATTTCCACAACCTGCTCACGCTGAATATCCTAAAACACAAAGGTGCAGTATGCACGTGTTGCTGTGAACGCAGGTTTCGTGAAGTTCAAAGCCCACAATGCATAATATGTTCACAAATCTACGTCATACCGACTTGCGTGGCCCTATCAGAAGATCTACCATCTTCGTCTCGCGTTAAAACTACCCAGCGTTTTATTAGCCGTGACGGAGTATCGCAGGTGAAGGCACATAAACTCGTTTCCATACACAGGGCAAATAGTCAGTCAAGTATCCAAGGTTTTAAGTCAACAAAAGATCGAGCGGTTTTAACAGAACTTTGTGTGTTCTTATTGTGCAGTGATTTCCACCGCGAGAAAACACTTTACGGGTGAAAGCAACGTGTTTGTAGGTCAGGCGGATGGTGAAAGGTTAAGGTGAGGTACACAAGGATATATTGTAGGATCGCAAGACGTGAAGGGGATTGCCTAACCTATATTTTCACATTTCAATGATAGTGGATAGAGTTGCACTCAATGAACCAATGAATAATAAAGGGGAAATGACAGACCCCCAGTGAAGACCAGCATCCTGGAAACATTTTCCGCTGCATTTGATCGTTTTCATACTTCGACTTTAAGATCAGTTTCGTGGCTGTTGCAGTATTGTTTTGACAGAATATTTTCCGTTCTTAAATACTTTCCTCTTTATTGTTATCACTGCGACACCTGCAATATTCATATTATGTGACTGAGCGCTGAGTGAAGTTGAACGAAATGTGCTTTTCAGTTGTAAATGATCGTGAACATTCACACTATGTAACAGTAGGTCGTTTCCGTGTTGTCGCTGTTGTTATGGAAACGCAACTTCTGTTGTGAATGTTTCCCTTGAACAGAGCAACACGGAAACACCGCTTGGATTTCAATGTCATGTGAATGAATGTATAGTTAATACGGATTACATATCTTTCCTGTAATAAAACCAGAAGATTGGTAATCAAACACGAGCTGACTGTTTATGAAAATGTCATCATATTTCTTACAGATATCTGTATATTTTATATTTAGTTACTGAAAATGAAACCAAATAAGGAATAACGCCTTTGGAAATTAAGGAAACATATCTAAATTACCCACAACATTTCATGTACTGGTGCACAATGGAAGTGAAACGTGATGTTGGTATAACATCCTTAACGCGCCATCCATTAAGTGCAGTAGGAGACGCCTGGGCCTGGATTTTCGAAGCTCTCTTAGCGCTAAGATAGTCGTAAGTGCCATACATTAACATTAACTTACGACTATCTTAGTGCTAAGAGAGCTTCGAAAATCTAGGCCCTGGATTGATACTTAACATTACTATGTCAATAGGAAATGTACATGTCACTCACAACATTTGCCTGGTGATCACTGTCGAGAATAACAGTTACACAGAAATTCGTTTAACACGCTAATGACACTTCTCACAACAACAGGAACACAATTCCTATCTACTGCTCTCAAAGGAAGAGGTTTAAACCACTGTCATATCTCAACAAATGAACCTGTACGAATTACACCCGTCAGCGCCAATCTGTCGAGAGCTGTGGCAGCCTTATCGGGAGTTACCTCCCTTTGTAGAGCCACGCTCAGGTCATGTGACTGAATAGCGGCTTGTACTAAGCAGACGAGATTTAACCCATCTGTTAACCGCAGTGTACTACAGCATTCAGTCTACGAAGGAGAGTGTTGGAGTGTATACATTTCGTAAACCGGGCTTGGAGAAGCTTGCGGAAGACCATGCAGGAATTATAGCCGTGTCAAGGGTTATTTGTTTAAAGAGAGAGTGTTTGTGGGGGTACTCACGTCAACTTTCACCCTCAGTATGGGAAGTATACAGGAACTCGAGAATTTACTTCGGCTGAAAGATGACAAGATCCGAGAGTTGCAAAGACTGGTGGAGGATAAAGAGGACAAGATACAAGCTTTGAGAAGCAAATTAGACAAATTTCAGTCAATATTACCCCAGACATCGATAATTGGGGGGCCACGGAAACAGAGAGCTCAGGGCATCAGTGCCGAACCACAGGCTTTACGATCTATCCAAGACCTAGCCAAACAATCCTTCAAGAAGCATTCAAAGACAAACAGGTGAGTGATATAAACAACGGATGTGGTGTGGGGTAAATGCTGGTATTGTTATGGACAGATGTTACTGATTGCTATCGACATGTTATTAACCTGATATTGATATGCAATATTTATGCCATTGTCAGTGTTGACATGTACATTTGGTCATACTGACAATGAGAATGTGTGTTTATATACACGGTGATGAATCATATATCAATTCTAATAGACCCTTGTCTATTTGGGAGAAACCAATGCCAGTGTCGCCTGTGATTGTTGACAGCTGTGCAAGTGTGGTCCAGCTTATACTCATACATGCAGAAGTATTGATCTGTAGTTGACAACAAGTGATCTCAAATACACATATACCATAACGTCACTAACATGATCAACCTCGATTTTGTTGTCAGTGGAAAATCTCCGAATCTAATATATCACAGTATATGTACAGCATGTAGAAAGTTCACAAGTCTCTTTTCAAGCGGTGTTATCACGTAACCAACGCTATCACTGGGTAATTTATCACTGGAGCTATCACTGAAGCGACCACACTGCCTCAGGCTGTAGTACGACTTGACACAGTGGTTGCCCATCTCGACAGAATAAGCCCTATTTTCCATAAACAACTTGCTATGAGAGGTGTATTGTTTTGCACATGTAAGGTTATCTTACATCCGAACGTTGATGAGTGGTGATCTGTTATGTCTCAAACGTAGTCTCTATTTGTCAAATGATTATATATTGAAGGTAATTTTAGTCGACCCTTACATAGATTGCGTACGCACGTGGTTCGTTCAACAACAAGGAAACGTATCGTTTTCAAAACATTGGCTGAATTCATCTCATATGTCAAGCGCCGTATTGTTTATAGCCTGGTTGTTTTTACTCCCCGCTGTCGTTAGTTAAACGTCAATAATCATTCGGATGAATAAGGGCATTCAGTATCCATCTAAGTCGAGTTTACACCTGGTATTTGTCATTTGATGATGGTGTTTTGCCATGGTAAGATTTGTAATAAAGATCGGCTTACCCTATGTGCTGTGCTGAATATAGATGGATGGATAGCGACACGTGTATCTTTTCAATAAGAGCCGACCGGCGAACAACGCGGCCTCCCGATCCCTACCTTTCGTAAACATAAACATCACTACACATTGTATATACTCTGGTAAACAATTGTTATTTTCAGACGTGGTTGGTGAATTCCAATTTCCTCGTGTAGCGTCTAGGTGCCACAATCGCTCATTATGTGTGTAGTGTATGCGGTGACCTTGTGCAGGAACAACGTCACTGAGGGAGGGAGTGACATCTCGCACATTTCAAATGTGTTTAATTAAATATAGGTCACCCTATGCGTCTCCACAGGCTAAGACGTTATGTGCAAATGTGTATTTCAAACGCGATTTTCTTTATGCATGTTGGTCATGAATGAATAGCCATGTGTAAATCGATCTTGTTCAGATTTGACCTATTTTAACTGGTGATTTGAGTTGGGTTTTTTGTGATAGTATGGATGTATGGAAAGGTGTGTCGAAATATCACATTTGAATTAGATAGGATATATTTTTGTTATGATTTAGTGATTTGTGCCAACGAGGGCCCAACACGGAAGTGGACCTACTCAGCTGTCATGCTGAAATCAATGACCTGTCAATCACTAAGCTTATCTCATTTTATGACTTTGAAACAATCAGATCAGTTGATACTGGCTTTTATGACCATACTTCCACTATTTGTGGATCATACTGATCTCAAATAATATGTCGCCAAGCATATAACTATAAGTTACACGCTGGGTAAATTTATTTTAAGTGTTTAGCTACTTACAGCATAGCATTCAACAGGACACGCTGCACAGGAAAATCCGCTTTTGTCTACTTAACCATTCAAGAGTGGATTCTTGTTTCGTTTATTTAACGGCATATTTAGCCAAGAGTACGACACACTATACACACCATTCTCAGTGTAGAGTCACTCGCTTATATTCATTAAGTGAGTTAATATTTTAATGGTTATCGCCGTTTATTTGTTGTACATTGAATTGCGTTAAAATTAAATTCATTACTTCATATTTTGTGTGTTCTAACTGCATGGGTACAGAGATGTAACTGTAACACGTAATCACTATTTACGTAAGCATTGACTGTCATATCATCGAGTGAACAAGAACCATTAATGTCGTGCCCACCATAACGTGAACGCTCCAAAATGTATTACACAACAAACTCCCAGTCTCCTATACGGTCATACCTGGGGGTATAATTAAGGAGAGGCTAATGGACCACTGTCCAGATGACCTTCAGGAAAATAATGGTAGCCTGTAGGGGCCTTCGGGAAAGGGGATCACCCGAATGACCTGTGCGTTTCGCTCGACCTATCGTCCCGCTTAGCTGAACATGATGAGTGTGTGCGGAAATGCTTCATCACTTTCTCCCCGTCATACGCACCTTACTGTCTGGCACGGTTACGTGGATTTATGCTGGGCGGTATTTTGGTGGTTATGCTTGACGCCGTATAGCGGGGACTTGACGTTTTAACTTCGCTATGGGGAATCTTTACTCATATTCATGGTGCACATGCCCCGTGTATGTATACATAAGACATCGACTGTCCAAGATATTTGAAACTAAACTTGACAGGTTGTGATTACCCTATATTTGTTATCGGGTTATGAAACTATGACAGGTGTTTTCTGTTCGCCTGGAGGTAAAAGGAACAGCACTGTCGTACACGAGTGGAGACACGGCGTTTCAGGACGTTACCACGCCGTCACTGTCGTCGTCAAAAGAACAACTCATAATATGGCGAGCAGAATTATGTTATAATGCTCACAGTTTTTCCAAAAGTAAAAGGCGGTGGGGTAGTTTAGTGGTTAAAGTGTTCGCTCGTCACGCTGAAGACCCGGGTTCGATTACCCACATGGGTACAATGTGTGAAGCCCATTTCTGGTGTCCCCCGCCGTGATATTGCTGGAATATTGCTAAAAGCGGCGTAAAACTAAACTCACTCACTCCAAAATTAAAATAGTCACCTTCCAACGTCCACGAAATGAGCATAACAAATGTGAGAAACCTAATTCGGATAAACAGTGATCAGGTGCAGCCACCCGTAGTTAAGTAACCGTTTATTATACGAATAGTGCACTCTGCTGCAAACGATTAGTAAGTTAACGGTGTAAGGTGTCGAGATTTTCAACAAAGCTATAAGTATATTGATAGATTTGGGGTATTTGTGGCTATACGTTCCAGTTGTGTTTGTGCGCGTACACACGTGTATGTGTGTATATGTTTAGAAACCTTGTTTTATCAAACCAAATCGTATGGAAACAGGCTAACATATTTGAAAGTCACCTCAAGAAACGCTATTACGTCTCGAAGTGTAACCAAGAAATCGGAACATGGCCATACGTTGAAGTGGGAAATGGATGCCTATTCTTGTAAATAATCTTGACATTTCAATTCCAAACGTAAGTTTAGGTTTTCTAAAAGTACGTTACAGTGACATATTTCAATGACGATAAGATTGCAAGACAAATTGGGGCAATACGCCTTCATCCATATGTCTGAAATCTTATCAGTACAGTGAGATTAGTACACTGGAGACATGCATGCCGTTACTTCCCATGGCCCCGTATGTGCGTCTGTTGATAAGTAAATCCCACACCGAAATTGAGTTAATTACAAAGTCGTATATTTCGATTCGATCTCAGTATGCGACAGCAACAAATTTGCCATAGTTAAAAATGACTTATGGCTTTAATTGAAAAGGCATGCAAGAGAAAGTCATTTTGGATATATTGCCTTTTTGATTATTGGACATCGTATGACTTTGTAGATATGGGCGTCAAAACTTTGACTTGTTGATTCGACACTTAGGGAGGAATTATTGTGTTTCTTCATAGCCTTCATAACGAAGGACAGATCTATGAGCTGGGGATCATGATGTAGTGTATACTGGCCAGGATCTTTAATTGCTGCCCATCCTCTCCTTCTCGGTATAGTTAGTACATCTGAGTACTTTGTAAACAACAATAATGTTCGGGTTACATTCATCACGACAAGATCAGCCTTCACAATTATCGCCAACCATTCCTACTCCGGTCTGTAGGCTTGTCTCGCTGTTGTCGCAAATAGTTTCAGGTTCTAGAAAACGAAAATGTCAACAGACAGTGAATGCTAGGTTTGTCCTCAATTTTTGTCTAGGTTGTTGACAGGTAATACTTAGATCCAGTAAAGGGTCTGTTCCATGTAACCTCAATTCCGTGACTGAGCGTGACACAGCGGATCCAATGAAACGCCAGGGTGTTTATTGACTGTAATGGATAACATCTGTGAGCTTACCTTTATTTTTACGTGTTACAGATAGCATCAGAAAGACATTTTTCCCGAATCACTTGTTGGACTTTTATTATCACATACAAATATGGGAATACCTTTCTTCTCTTTGGCTATTAAGGACGTATCGTTTGTACACACATACTTGATTACAGTATGTAGAAGGGTACATCAGGGTCCAGTAAGAGCGAGTGTTTGTGTTGGTTTCATGAGGTGCGATATTTGGACAGAATGTAGTATGGTTATCTCTACATTGATGGGAATAGTACCATATAACTACTGCCGTATCAATAGACTAACGCTTTGATGGAAACAAACAAATCTGTTTAAATTGAAAAGGAGCCCCAGTGGCCTGGCTCAGAGATACCCCAGGAGATGCTTCATTAACAACGTTTGTGTTACAGAAAGAGTTGGGTGTGAGGGGAATAATGTAGTGTGTGAGAGAGTGAGTGAGTATAGTTTCACACCGCTTTTAGCACTATTATATCAAGGCGGGGGATAGTCTGTCATACAGACCCCGAAGCAAATATATCCAAGAAATCCCACGCAAGTCTAGAAAATGTGGCAAGTCTAGATTTCCACAGGCTTCGGGGTGTCTGAAAATGAAGAAGTCTCAGGGGTCCTTTTTATTATATTTTGTTTTGTTTTTTTCACTATGAGCCTTTTTCTGTAAAATATGTTCATTTC